CAGGAAGGCATTTGGAGTACAGTTACTTACACAATTTCATTTTAATAGTCTTTCGTGTAGTAATGATTCTCTTAAATCTTGGCTTTTGTAATTATTCTCTGTCATTCAGTTTTACTAGTCTCCTATCGCAGTTTTTTTGGTGTTACTTTGTGTGTGTTTGTGGCTAACATCTGTCACTTCCAGTTGATCTGTTAGGCTTGTATTGCTTGAAAGTGATATCTCTCACAGGATGGTTCAGAAGCTCTTGAATACAGCATAGGCAGTGCAGGATTTTCTTAGTACAAACGCTTCAGACAAGAGTATGGCTTGGACTTGAAATGTCGCAAAACAGCTGTCCTTCATGGAAGATCTTGCAGCATCAGATCAAATGGTTTGTTTTGCCTTTACTAAGTTGGGGAGTCGTGGTTGTTTTGTTGGTTTTTTTTCCCCAGAACTTCCTTATTAGTGCATTCAAAATAAGCTGACGGCTAGCTAAGTTAATGAAAGTGTGCTTTTCTGTGCTAACACGGATAATGACTGCGAGATTACAGGAATGACTTAGCCATGCCTTTGCTTTGAAGCTCAGGAAGAGATCATTAATTGCCACTGCTGTTACTGAGCATTTCTTGAGGTACTTTTGTAGGCTTTCTGAATGAACATGTGCTTTACTGATTCCTGTTTAATGTGCCAAACAACAAAAGCACATTGATCAAAGCAGAGCTACAGACAGATCTTTACTGAATAGCAAATTAACTTCCTTTGCTTTCTGGTGTAGCTTTTTATTGTGCAATTTTACATAGAAATAGCTTGAGGGTTCAACGTTCTTTGCAGTAAAACACAGGAATGATCGAGCAATACTGTATTAAGTACAAAGTAGCAAAAGAGAAAAAAGTCTTAGTTTTAATTGGAGAAGAAAATTGAAAAAGTGATAGTGAAAATGTATGCAGTATTATTTACATTATTTTATGATTCAGATGCAGAATGAGTATTCCAAATGAAGAAATCACTGTCTCTTAACCTTTTGGTGTATGGAATTGCACACTGCAAGTGCATTCTTCTCAAATAATACCTTCTTTCTGCCATGCTAGGAAGAGAAAAAGAGGAAAAGGGAGAAAGAACAGTGTGACACTGAAGGAGAAACGGATGACTTTGATCCTGGGAAGAAAGTGGAGGTTGAACCTCCTCCTGATCGTCCTGTCAGAGCATGCAGAACTCAGCCAGGTAAGCAGTGTGAAAAATTAAAGCATCTTGGTTGTTTTTAAGAACACACACAAGCTTTTTGTCAAATGTACCAAAACGTAGAATTTTCGTGAAGATTTGCTGAAATCTAGGGACTTTACTTTCTCCAGCATTCAGAACTTTCTGCTGTCTGAAAAGTCAGTATTTCTCTTGGTGCTTCCAGGTTTTAGTAGCTTTGTTTTCGGGTGACTGAAGTTGCCAAGGACATCTGTCTTAGGCTTCTGTTACTTGGCAGAATAAAGCTAGTGTAAAAGTATGTTGCGTGTAGTGTTCTCCTTTTGCTGAAATCTAGGGACTTTACTTTCTCCAGCATTCAGAACTTTCTGCTGTCTGAAAAGTCAGTATTTCTCTTGGTGCTTCCAGGTTTTAGTAGCTTTGTTTTCGGGTGACTGAAGTTGCCAAGGACATCTGTCTTAGGCTTCTGTTACTTGGCAGAATAAAGCTAGTGTAAAAGTATGTTGCGTGTAGTGTTCTCCTATTTCCTTCTGGCAGAATAAAGCTAGTGTAAAAGTATATTGTGTGTAGTGTTCTCCGATTTCCTTCTCCATAGCATTTTCAGAACAGTGATTAGAATGTCTGAAACTAAGTTTTGCTTAGTTCAAGGGAAAAATTCTTGTGGAGACTGCTTGGCTGTTGTCAGGTTTTTTATAACCTCTGTGGAGTTTTGGTAAAAAGTTAGTTGTGATAGGGTGTCTTTAAAGACTATAGTCCCCAAAATTTGGGTCGTTATTATGAGTCTTGTCTTTGGAATGCTGCCATTTGGCTGGTCAAGTAATTTCTTGAGGAATTTTCTAGTTATCATTGCATGTTACGTTGAGGAATGGTGGCCATCAGCAGTCAAGGTAACTGAAATTTTCAAAGTCTTATGTCTCTGGGTAGTTGGGATCCTTGAAAAACTGACAAGCTAGAAATGGGTCTCTTTATTATTCTATTTTCATCTGTTCATAAGATAGTATTTGAATGCATATAAATTACCTAACCTGTTCTGGTTAAGAAGGGAAATGTCTCTCCAGTATCATGATGAAGAGTTGGAGTTTTAATTCCAGATTTTGACATGCTGCTGCTTTAGTGTTTCAATCTTAACATTAGAGACAGTCTCTCTGAAGTATGTGCATGGAACAGGAAATTAATGTGTAGTGTTTATTGTGCAGTCTGTAGAGGAAGTGAAATCATAATCAATACCTGTCTTGTGAGCAAATCTGCATCTATTTGTCACTCTTCTTTGGGGCTGAAAGGTTCAGACAGACTAATTGCATGGGGTTTCTGGTAAAGAAACCATTCAAACTGCACAAATAAGGTGCAAGAGTGTGGATTTCCCAACTACAGTATTTCAGCAAGCAAGTTTCACTTTTATTTTCCTATAAAAATATGTAACACCTTATTTTAGTCTTTTTAATACACATTCTTAGAGCTACTGGACTTAATATTACATCAGAAAATAGTGAGGGATAAGAAATAGATACTGTATGCTTAGAAATCTGGTGCACTTTTGCTTTGAAACCCATGGCACACTGAGCTTCAGATCAGCACGAGCTGTATTTGTAGTTAGATTTTCTCTCTGGTATTTATATTTTAAATAAATAAATATGCCTATATTCTGTTTCATCTGTGTTTTCATCTCAAACTGCAGCTGAAAATGAGAGCACACCGATCCAGCAATTACTAGAGCATTTCCTTCGCCAGCTTCAAAGGTATTAAAGTTATTTGTATCTTCAGCTGTGCTGACAGTGTCTAATGCATATGTGTTACTTCAGAACTTCTTACCCTGGCTTTCTGTTTGAAAATAGTGCCTAAAGATTGACTATAATATATCTGTTAACCTTTGCAACCATGTCAGATGTGCTAGTTTTTAAAGATTCCTTGAGGAAAATTATTCCCAACTTTGCAATTCTAGCATTCATCAGGGAAGTAAGTGTTTTGGGCAGAGGATACCTGGCTATCCTAAATTTATTAAATATTAATGACTTAGTTTAGGGATTAAAAAGCAGTCATGATTCTATAATACTTTGAAAGACTGAACTGTTTTAATTAAATTCTCTTTTATTCTGTGTCCACTGTCAGATACAAAGCAAATTTATACCTGCTTACTTGATAATCCTCTTAATTTGGAAGGCTTTTATTCTGTTGTCTTCAAAAAGATCTTAAACCTGTACCTCATGTTTAAAAATCCCTCTTTTTTATTGCATAGTAATAAGCTGAATTTGTAACTAATTGAAATATATTAAACATTGCATTGATTTTTTTAGAGGACCTTATGGACAAGAAAAATTGAGGAGTTTATTACTCAGTGAAGCCAAAAGACCCATTTGGATTGTAGAGACAGAAAACATACAGGAATTAAGAAATTTAAGAACTAGATGAATATCTTTCAGTCTGCATATGTGTAATCAAAATTCTCTACTTTATCAGGAAATTCTTCTAAAATGCAGTGTTCTTTCTTTCTTAACCAGTACTATTATATCATGAATGTAGTATAAAAGCAAGGATCATTTTTTTTGCTGCTATCAATCTAAATGTATCATTTTTATTTTTAGGAAAGATCCCCATGGATTTTTTGCTTTTCCAGTCACAGATGCCATCGCTCCTGGATATTCCATGATAATAAAACACCCTATGGATTTTGGTACAATGAAGGAAAAAATTGCAGCAAATGAATACAAATCAGTCACTGAATTCAAGGTGAATTGATAAAGATTTAGATATTTCAGAACTAGTAAGAAATGGAAGATTCTTTTTTAACTTCAGAAGCCTTTCTTGTATGGATTAACATGCCTTTTTTTCAGAACTGAGCACTTTTGTATATTCGGTGTGTAACAAATACTTTGTCAGATCCTGCTAAAATCTGCTACAAATTACTGTGTAAAACAAGAACATGTTCTAAAGTCCTATGGAATTCATGCTGCTAAACTTAAACAGGAATAAGACTGTCAGATATACTTAAGCAGTGAAGAGCCTGGAGCGCTTTTTTTTCCTTTCCTATTTTTCTTTTCTTTTTATTTTAATCTAGACCTGGTTAGATTGATTAAAATGTAATTTTGAATTGTCTGCAAGAGAACTGTGGATATTCTGGAGCATCTTGTAAGATGTGAAGATATATTTTATCTTTAACTATCCTGTTTTCCATGTAACTTCATTTGAAATGGTCTTCTGGCAGAAACTTACTTGGCAAGTTTATAGGGCAACTTGGCTAAGCTATTTTTTGTATTGTTATTGTTGTAATACTTTATTAGATGCATCCTGGTTTTACAGACAGTGCAGTAAGAAATCTTTTCATGGTATTGCCAACTCTTGGAAGGAAAGGAGTTTTCCGTAACTGATTCATGGAGTTCTATTAGCTGCCTTCAGAATTACTGTTTCCTAAAGGGATGTTGATGTAACAGTAGACTTGGCAGAGAGCGCTGACTTGCTTCTCAGGGTTGAAAGGTCCAGCAAGGTGAGCAAAGAATGGCTTGTCTTTCTTATAGGGGTTTTGACAAAGATTATTCTCTTTTGTTAGGCGTGCTTTAGAGATTTATAGGAAGTAGTAACACAGGATTCATAATAGCATTGCCATCATCAGTGCCTTCAGGTCTCTGAACTCTGGCTTGCTGGATTGTCTTACTCAACAACTTGAAAAGGAAATTTGAATGGGACTGTTTAGTTACAGGCAAGGTTGCAATATTTAAACTGGTGGGATAGCAACCTAAAAAAAAAGAAAATTGCAGTATAGTTTAGACTGACAGACTTATTTTTTTCCTGCAGGACTCTTGGTTCTGCTGGTACTCTGAGGAGTAATAAATGGTTGCTAAAAGTCTGTCCATCTTAGAGTGAAAAACAGTTTGAGTTAGGGACTGGATTCTAGATACACAAGGATGCCTAGTGGCACAGCATTACAAAGGCCATATGCTTAATACAGAAATGAAGCTTATAGATTTTTCACCTCTAAAACAAGGCCTGCTCAAATGGTTACTTTTCTTTTCTGGTATACTTAGTATAACTAGCTGAGGCTAGTCACAAGACAAGTAATGTAAGGGTAGAGTCCACAAGAATCATTTGCTACAGAAGAGAAGCAATTGCTTCAGAAAACTCATTGGTTTTGCTGCTGAAAAAAAGGGTCTACTTCAAAGCTGGGCAAGCAAAAGACTTCTCTGGCCTTTTCTGCAGCACTTCAAAGGCCATCACTAGATGTATAGCTTACATGTGCTTCTTTATCTGCTTCTTGGCTCATAGTTTGCTCCTTTGTGTCACCTACTAAATTTCTGGGTTTCAGGTGGTCTTGTTAATTGAAGGCAGATGGCTTCAATGCTATAAAACGTTACCTTGATAGCTTAGTCCTTCTGTTAATTTCTCCCATTTCTTCTTTTTGGTCTGTTTGCTTAAGGAGAAGATGTTACATTCAGGGAAGAATGTGTTTTTTATAACCAAAAAGCCAATTCCAAACAAAACCAAGCATCTTGAAGCAGCAGAAAAGGCTTGAACCTTTACAATTCTGCATTACCTTGTGGCTTGCATTTACTCCATGAGCCTGCTGCCAAAATATTAGTGTTCTTCACAGAGCTGCCATGATCTTCCAGTCGTTTAACAAAGGACTTAGAAGTTTTAACAGTTCTTTTGTTTTGTATTTTACAGGCAGATTTTAAACTGATGTGTGATAATGCAATGACTTACAACAGACCAGATACTGTTTACTACAAACTAGCCAAGAAGATACTGCACACAGGCTTTAAGATGATGAGCAAAGTAAGAGACCTATTATAAACAAAAAGCAGAAACTTTGGGGTTTTTTTTTTGTACTTAAACACTATTACTAACAATGATACATGTTATTTCATGTCTCTGTGATTAAGTATAGCAGTGCTGTTAGTGCTGCTATATTTAAGGGCTTTATAGCATCCTTGTTACAACTCAATAATTTTGATCTATTTCTCAACCTTATCTGCACCACTGAAATCTGTAGGAGCTTCTTCTGCTGGCCTCAGTGGAAGGAATTGAGGTCCACACGTATAAAACCCAACTGTAAAATACTACTACTGTCTGAAATTTTGAAAACATGTTCTCATTTAAGTTTTACTTCTGCATAAACAAGAAAGCTCTACTATTTTCAAGGTGTTGGGTGTAGGGGAGTTTTCAGGGATGTTGCAAATCCACTTTTTACTCAAATACAGTTGTTGGCTTGTAAATGGAGTTGTTTTGGTGAGGTGCTCTGTGCACGTGTGTGTGCATGTGCATGCGTTACAGGAATGGTAAGTTGTGTGTAAAATAGTTGGTTTTGCATATGCAGCTTGTTTGTTTGTTTGTTTCTCTCTTGATAGTTGGGCTGCAGAAATTCTGATGCCATGCTACCATGACCAAATCATGTTGCATTGCCATTGGAAACGAGACATAAAGAACAAAATAAGGCCATGGCCATTCCCATCCCATCCCATTATCATAGCATCTTGGCTATGAGGGAAAGGTTAAGTCCCTGCCGCTCTGTCCTTTCTGATTCTAGGAACGGCTGTTAGCTTTGAAGCGCAGCATGTCGTTTATGCAGGACATGGATTTTTCTCAGCAGGCAGCTCTTTTGGGTGATGAAGACACAGCAGTTGAAGAACCTGTCCCCGAAGTTGTTCCTGTACAAGCAGAGACTACCAAGAAATCCAAAAAGCAAAATAAAGAAGTTATTAGGTAAAGGTTTTAATGGGCATGCTTACTGGCTTGTTGCAGCTTTTCTAATACTAGTCAGCAGCAAAGAACTGAGGAAAAAAAATTCCTTTCAGCAGTTTTCCTTGAGGTCCATAGGATAAAAGGGCAATTTTATTGATATGTTTATTTATAGTACTTGTTTAATAACCCAGTGATTCCCAACTTGAAACAAACAATTCAAAAGATGACTGCATATTCTTTTAAACACTTAACAGATATTTTAATCCTTCTTTATATCTGTATTAAATAATACCAAGTTTCTTTCATGAAGGTCTGAAATGTAATTTTGAACACAGTCACAAATACCTTTTGCATTTAGTCCTTTTTTTTTGCCTTTCCTAAAATGATTGAGTGCATCAAAATCTAACAGGATCTTTCTGGGAGGGTAAAGTGTCCCTAGATCAGTGAAGGATTTTATTTAACTTTATCTGGTAGGATATGAAGGGACAGGAGATTATTTCTGGAGCAGATCTTCCCAATGAAATGTTAGTAAGCTTCTTTGTAAAGTACATGCTAGTGCAATAGTAATCTTCCAGCTAATATACACCCCCATGTCACAAAGTCATGTTTTTATAGCTAAAATATAATTTTAGTCATTATTTTTAAAATTAAATTTATTCAACTTATTTTATGAGTAGATTTTAGCAGAAACTGTGATTTACAAGCAACTTAGGCTGTTCACTGTTCTTGCATAGACATCCAAAGATAGATGTTGAATTTAAATTGTAGAGCATTATATCAGCTGAAATTTTATGACATCAAAACTGTAATAGAGCATTGCTAGTCATGTCTTAAATTATCTGATCATGGCAATATGTTCTGCAGGCTTTTTTCTTAAACCTTCAAAGTAAAAGAAGTGGAAAATACCTTGTTATTTCAAGTTCTCATTTTTTTAAAAGTCAACTTTAGAGTTTTAATCAGCCATATTTTTCTAGCCTTTTTGTAATCCTCCTTCATATCTCATGGAAAAGTAGTATTTTTATGTAGTTGTTATGTGGAAATAGAAGACTGCAACATGTATCTTAAAAATAGTTTCAAACAGAGTAATTTTTTTGGCTGAACCTATTTTAATGGCAGCACACAGAAACATATCTGTTGCTGGATCATGGAGAATTAACAAAGTGCAGTTTGTTCCTTGTTTAATGGATTGTGTAAAGGAATCAACTGGAAGTACCTTTTTGTAAACCAGACTTCATTGAGGAGAAGGTGGTTTGGTTTTTGGTTGGTTTATTGTTTTAGAAGATAGGATGGTTTGATTTGTATGGTGCCCAGAATAATAGATTTTCTCTGATTAATTCTTGCATAACTCCAGTACAGGAAAAACTTTGTGCTTTGCCACAGAGCAAGACATTGACATGGCCAAGCCATACAGCACTGCTCTGCCTTTAGTATCTACCTTGACTTAATTAAAAATAACTGACTTTTAGTTTTATCCTGCTACCAGTTTCTTTGCAGTCATTTGTGGTATGAATTGAATTTCTTGTGCTTTTCAACGTTTGTGACTTTAGTAGTTGGAATTAATTTGTTTTTTATTTCTAATTAACTTGACCTTTTAAACACTTGGCTTTTTGCATCAGTAGGATTGATATTCTTTTTGATGAACTGTATGAGCTGGGGGGGCAACTAAAGATAAGAGCAGGTATTTTTGCCTTCATATTTCACAGCTGAAAACAAAGAGTTGAACTCAGTATTTGCAAAGTGTTAAAGCAGTTTAGACCTCTCTACTGTAGTTTAAAGAGTGACTTGATCACTTAGACATCCTAATGTCAAAGTACTTTTGAAAATTTTGTTCAGGATGTTGCAATCCTCTGAACATTTTCTTCAAATTTTCTGTAGAGTGTGATAGGAAGTCCCAGTTGTTGAGGAGTTTCCTGCTGTGTACACCCTTTCTTAAAGTTTCAATGAAACAAAAATCGTATAACACATTTGTCTCATAATAGTATGATCCTGTGATCTTTTTATTGTCTTTAATAGCAAAACTTACTTGTGTATCGGATCTGAATCTCTATACAGAGAGAAATTCTTAGCTAAGCAAATGGAAGAAGATAACCCAGGAGAGAGAAATGGATTTGGTGTGAGGAGATGCTCTACCCAGTACCTAAGGTGTTTGGCCCTAGTGTCTAATGTCCATATAATGCCCTGAAATATTTTGATGTACAAAGTTTACATATATAAAACGTAATGAAGACTGCCATATATTCTATGATATCTTCACACTTCCCCTTACAGTACTCCCTTTTTCTCATCTTGTGTAATAGCTATGTCCTGTTCCATCTTGGGTATGCTTATTTGTTACCTTTTTATTGTTTGGTGCTTTAATGAAATGGAATCTACTGAAACATTCCATGATTCTATGAAAGATAAATGTTAAATTCTGTAATTTCAATTACAAGGAATCGTGTGATTGATACTGATTAGGAATACTAATTCCCAATACTAACAACTATAGGAATTAAAAGACTCCCTGTTATACTAGGAGCTGTGTTCCACTCCGGCAAGCAGCTATATGACATAGTCATCATAAATGCAGCCTGTTGGGTTTTTTCTCTGATGAGTCACACAAGTTTCCATCCCTCATCATGTAGTTTCTTCTCTGCATCTTTCTGTTTGGAATTTGTGAAAAGAGCATATTCATGCATGTGTGGGACTAAGGATGAATACAGCATTCACCTTGTGTTAATGCAGTTCTGCTCCCAGTCTCTGTTTTGTAATACTTCCTTTACTTTCATCAAGGTACAGAAACAATTACATTTTTGAAGTTCAGTAGTTTGGTAATTCTCAGCTTCTGCTGCAAAACTTCAGTGCATAATATGTTTATAATTCCACTTAAATGCTGAAGTAAACTGACAGTGGGAGAGGAGTGGGACTGATTGTTCTATTAAGCAAGCTCAGAATTCAGCCCTTTATTTTGTTTTAGCTTTTAATTTCTACAGCTGCTCCTCTTCTCTTTCTTAGCTGCATTTTTGAGCCTGAGGGGAACGCGTGCAGCCTGACAGATAGCACTGCTGAAGAACATGTCCTGGCACTGGTGGAACATGCAGCAGATGAAGCTCGGGATAGGATCAATCGCTATCTACCCAACAGCAAGGTCTGCTGCACAGTGAAGTTTGCAATTCCATTTTGTGTCTGACTGTTGAATGATTTGTTTCACATTAGGAAACAGGCTTTAGTGTTATGTTTTCTGTGACTGGAACATGTAGGATGTATGGACTGTGTGGAGCTCCAATATGACTGTGGCCTATCATTTAGTTCTCACTGAAACCAGTAGTAGGGCGTCCTAAATGGGTCTTAGGTTGCACTGTGTGTTGAACATCTTTGGAAATTCACGTAGAGGATACAGTGAAATGTTGCTCAGTCTTGAATTGCAGTCCTTAGCATTGAAAGTGAGTAAACCAGCATCACACTCTTGTTGCAACCTCAGAAAAAGCAGGCTATGGCATAGGTTGAAGGGTTATTAGGATTTTCCCACCCACCCAAAGAAGTCAGGAATTTATAAGTGTTAAATTACTGTTTTCAATGAGAAAAGTCTATAACCTCTTGTAGTTTTGTACCTACAAGTAGTAGCTGTCAGGTGTAGCATGAGTACAAAATACAAACATCCTTCACTGACTAGGATAAGATAGCAGGTGTGATCTTCTTGAATGTGATTCCAGTATTGTTCCATGTTTTTGGTTTTTGTGCTCTTCGTAGGGTTAGGACAAGCTCAGTGATGCTGTTGGAGCAGTTTTCCCAGAATGATCTGTTCGTGGGCTGTGGGATGCTTGATTCCTTTGTTTCTTCATGCTGGGATTGGAGTGAATGCTGCAGACCTATATCAAGATGTGTTTCCTGTTTCCCTTGAATCATGTGGGGTCTTATACCACCATTCTTCTTTCTCATTTTTCATGTGTCACATACTCTAGTGACCACTGCAGTCAAGAAAAGGAGGATGTTGCTACATCCTGCGTTTTCCACCTATTTTTTTAACAAGTGTAGCAGAAGAAACTTTGCTTTTAAACATTAGTGGTGGTTTGTCTTCAAACTTAAATGTCTGTTTCTTGGCCAGTGGCCCTTGTTATCCAGCCACCTTAGGCTCAACTGAATTAGGAAGTAAAGCTTCAAAGAGCAGTGGGAGAAGGTTTAGCTTCTTTAGTGTATTTCTGTTTCTTCGGATAATTAAAAGACTTGCTGGAATTGAAAGCTATTTGAAAGCTCCAAAGAAAGTGGCTTTTTAAAAACTCTTCAAAGCAGTACCAGTCTTTTGATGATTTCTAGCTTCACTGAAAAGGCCTTTTATGCTGATGCTGTCAGTTTTACAGTGTGGAAAAAAGTTGCTCAAGGTGTGCACTTCTCAATTGTCTGGGCTGTTAATCAGCTAGACAACCCACTGCAGGTCCCACTGAGTCTAGGTAACACCAACACATTCTTAGATTTCATCATTGCTAACTTTTGCCATCACTTGAGGCTATTGTTCCTGCTCACTCTCTTTCTAGCATTTCTCACCTCTATTTTTATTATACACCAATGTTAGCTTTTGCCTTCTGTATGGAGAGAGTTGTAAACCTTTTCAGAGGGGAAAAAAAACAAAATAGGGGAGAGATTTATTGTTCTGTTTACTTGGAAGTATTTACTAATATTTCTGTAGGGAGAGAATAGTTTTTATTTTCCCTCTTCACTGGGAAGTTAAAGCCTTTTTTGTCTAATTCATGTGTAGTCAGTTTCTGACATCAGCTTTGCTTGTTGCATCACATCTGGCTCTGTCTTTACAGACCTTGGTGTGCTCTGTTGTCTTTCACGTGTCTTTTTAGTGTTGTGCTTGTGTGCTTCAATAGGTCTGTCCCAGCACTTGTTCCTCTTTATGAATTTGATAGTGTGTTTATGGAAGTACTTCTGATTAGAGAAAGTTGTGGGCGAGATGTGAAAACAAGAGGTTCAATCTAGGTTTGAAAATAGACAGTGAGTTACATTGTGGGTAGGAGTTATGGTTCTGCTTATGAAAAGGAAGACTTGGCAGTCAAAAAGCCTGTCCATACTAATGGTAATGGAGTTGGGTTTGTCTTGGATGAAAACTTCATATCCGTTTGAGAAAGACGAATAAGGTCTTGTATCTATGATATGTGAACTTCTAAGTCTTCTGTTCTGAAGTATTTGCTAAGTGGTATTAACTAGTGTGACCCAAGATTCTCTGTATTACAAAGTGAATACCAGAGTGCAGGATCTCAATACAGCTAAAATGCTTTTTATAGTTCTCTTTGTAAGTAAGCAACTCCTTTGAGTTTGAACAGTTTTGAGTGATTGCTTCTGTATCTTTGTGGTTCTCTTCACAGATTGGTTACCTGAAAAAAAATGGAGATGGAACTTTATTATTTAGTGTCGTAAATTCATCTGATCCAGAAGCAGAAGGTAAAAGCCACAGTCTTTCTAGCAAACATTTCTAGTCTTGAATGTTCTAGCAGATTTTGAAGTCTGCTACATACATAACTGTACATACAGATCCTGTGTAGTACAGATGAGTTTTAAAATTATTTTAATTTTTTTTAATTTAGAAAAGAAATTATTATTTTCATTAATTCTTTCCCAAGCCATTTCCCCAAATGGTTGTATTTAGTATCTCCAATGTAAGGAGATAGTTACCTTAAGAGCCTTTTTGCTCTTCAGATGATCTGTTTTACTGATGCTGGTAGTAAGAAGATGAAATATCTCTTTCTAAGCACTTCTACATTGCTACAGTTTTATAAAGAACCTGGAAGATGCTTGCACTGCAAATATAATCTAGTGTTAAACCTTATAGGCAAAAGGTGAATCAAAGTGCAGCAATCCTATGAAAATGTGCAATGCACAGATGAAAATTCAGAATAATCTTTTCCCTTTTTGTTTCCTAATTTAAATCATTAGCAAAATTTCAGTTTGGAGTGCATGAGGTTTTGCTTAGGTGTTTTCCTTTAGTTCCTTGATATTTTCTGTGTTTTTAATTTTGTTTCTGTTACAACTATATGTCATTTATATTGTCTTATGCTTTTCACTTGTTTTAGTTTCAGGCTCAGGATGTAGAAGTTGTGAAAGTTTGTAATGAATGAAATGTCATAGTCTTTATGCTGCTGTTTGTCACGTTGATTTAGCACTTCCATCTCTGCACCTTTTGAGATTGGAATTCATTCACAGCCCACCTGATGACTATACAAATGCTTTTGACTAGTTAGATTGGGAGACACAGGCCTGTTGTAACTCTATTACTGTCTAAATTCCTTTGCATTTAGTAGTAAATTTTTCTGGAATTAAATTGAGCATTTTGGCTGCTATCACACCCTTACCTATTTCTGAAGAAAAAAAATGAATAAAATGAATGTGATTCAAGACCTCTGAAATTCTGCCACTGAAAATTTTGACAGTGATGGTAATGGTGTCTGGATTTCTAGAAATAACTACCACTTCGTCAACATACGAAGCTGCTTTTATCACTTGATAATATCTGGATCCTGAATGTTTGGGAATCAGCTAGTAAAATAATTACAGATGCTGCTGTGTACTGTAGAAGTGAAATAAGTAAGCCATAAGTCTTGTGAATAAGAGATGGAAACCCGTTTACAGCATGTGTTTGAAATTTAAATGGAGAACCTGAATTACAGTACCTACCCTCAATGTATAAATTAAAAGACATTTAGTCTTCATGTTAACTGCAGCTTTTAAAAAGAGCAAAATCTAAACATTGACATCAATTGTAAACATTAAATGCTTTTCTAAATCATCTTTTAAATCAAATTATTAGAGGAAGAGACTCACCTGGTGGATCTGAGTTCACTGTCAAGCAAATTGTTACCTGGCTTCACCACACTAGGCTTCAAAGATGAACGAAGAAATAAAGGTAAATTCCAGAGAACATATTTTAACTTTGTGTTTATTGAATGTTTGTGCAATTACTTGTTATAAAATCATTTCAGATTATGTCTGTCTTGATATGAAAGTCCATTTGGTTATTTTTATTCTGTGTAATTATTCCATTCACAGCAGAATGCAGTTTGAATTAAATTGACTTTTTTTGCTTATTAAACATAACTTAATTAGGAGTCTGTGGCTTAATGTTTTGCCTTAGTGTTATAGCTGCACCAGAAGCTTTCCAAGAAAGGTGGTCTGTTTTCTTGGGGGAAATTGTTTTTCCAGAGTGACTGTACTTAGAGTTGAGAAATAAAGCTTTTGGTCATTTGCATTTTTATATCATGTGACAAGGATTTCCCAGACTATGGAGTATTTTTTTTTTTCTGGTGTTATTGACGTTTCTCTAAGTTTCTGATGTGCTCTCCAGAAACTGGCTGGCATTAAAGTAAATGAAGTAAGGTACTTTATACTTTACTGCAACAGAAAAGTAGACACACAGAGAAAAAGCAGAAATATGAAGTGGGGCATGAATCTTTTTCTTCTGGGAGTGGGGTGGCTAACTTAGCTCCTGATATTTCCATTCGTATGTTCGTTTACATGATTAAAATCCTTTCAGTGATTCTAGAGTCTGGCTGTGTTCTTGAGATGCTGCTCTTGATTTCAGTTGGAGTAAGGAATCCACTGCACTTTCTGTATCTGTTTCAGAAAACAGGGTTTTTTTCCCCAAGTCATCTTTTACACCTGTGTAAATTAATTGTCATCTCTTTCTTCTACCTGTCTAGTAACCTTTCTTACAAGTGCTAGTACAGCACCTTCCTTGCAAAACAACTCCATATTTCCTGATTTGAAACCAGATGAGATGGAACTCCTGTACTCAGCATATGGTGACGAAACTGGGATACAGTGTGCCTTAAGGTAAATGCTTCCTTAATAGCAAATCTAACTTCTCACAGCAATTTTATGCAAAGCATTTTGGACTAAATATCAACTAGGAGCCTCCAAATCCTGAATTTTTTTTTTCCAAAACTTATTTTTAAAGTCAGTCACTATAAAACTTGAAGCTAGCTTTAGTCTTGCACTGTAGGGGGGAGCTTTGTGGTTTTTTTGTTTGTTTGCTTTTGGTTGTTGGGATGGGTTTTTTGGGGTTTTTGTATTTGCCCTTTTAAGTTACCCTATTAATTTATTTCAAGGCTCTTATGGATCTTGTTATTAGGGTCTTCAACCACAGTATATTACAGGTGGCTAAAGCTTTAGGATTTTGCTTTAAACCTAGCAGTAAATAAATTAAATAGGCAAGTAATGGATTTCAGAGGCTTTAAAACAGTGATATTTTTCAAGGAGGTTCAAAAGAGTTAAAGCTGCTTGAAAAGGAAGATGCCCCTTTTTTTTTAACTGTTAATCTTGGTGGAAATAAATTCATCTCAAGCTTTTTTTCCTCTTCTTTGTGTCTTGGTTTTTTTAACCCACTGTCAATGATAGTTCAAATTAAAATTTGCTGTTAGTTGTGAAAAACAAGTTTGCACATACATTTACTTGATTATTACAATATTTTTAAAAAGGTAAAAGACTCAGTACCTTGAAGGCCTTGAATGCTTTTCTGAGGAAGCACAGAAGAGTTAAAGAACAAGGAAAATGTAGCTGCAATGGAGTGTAGTGGGGGAAAACCCTGCTTTAAGTTGAAATATTTTTTTCAAAAGTAATGTTGTGAAAAACAAGTTTGCACATACATTTACTTGATTATTACAATATTTTTAAAAAGGTAAAAGACTCAGTACCTTGAAGGCCTTGAATGCTTTTCTGAGGAAGCACAGAAGAGTTAAAGAACAAGGAAAATGTAGCTGCAATGGAGTGTAGTGGGGGAAAACCCTGCTTTAAGTTGAAATATTTTTTTCAAAAGTAATCATTTAATGTTTATC